AAAAAAAAAAATTATAGAGTTTCTAATTTATTGAGCCCCAGACTGTGCTCTGTGGATGGCCCCATAGTTGGAGATGCTGTTAATAAGAAACAAGACAAATGACTTGGAGCCTAGGAGTTTTAATAAAAAAAGAATTGCAAATTGTGGAATTGAAGTTACAAGTTATACAATAAGAGTTCAAAATCAAGTTACATGGGAGGGATATGAGGATGTTAGAGTTGAAATATTTCACTTTGATTGGCAGAAATAAAAGGTCACTTTAACATAATGTAACATATCAACTCTATCTAAAAGGTGAACACGAGTTTAGCAGTCAAATTTTGTGACCAGCTACCAGGGAAATAGCTTTTTATATCTCCTGAAAAATATAGTACAACACCTTATGCAGTTAGATATTTATTGATGCTCAGTAAAGAACAACTGAATGCATAAATTATTTACATAATTCACCAATTCATAGCAATGATATTTAACAATGCATTTCTTCTGTCAACTTAAAAAGCCTCATAAGTCTGTTTCCATTCACATCTTCTCAATATGGAAAAATTGAGACTCAGTGTCCTAAACCTCTTTGTTCAAATTCAAGTGTCTTTATCATGTAAATTTCTGCAATGAAAAATTATATCCCTCCATGAGCAGAGGACCTTAACAATAAGCTAGATGATACATGAGCTCCAGAGACTTTCCAAGTAGTCTTTGAAGGGAAGAAATGCTGCTTTAATAATTTGAAACTTAGGATCAACAATTTGTTGCATAGATCTAGTTCAACATTAAGACTCTGAATGTCTTCTACAGCCTCTCCCAGTGGAAGACTTCTTGTCTCCAGAGATGGAGAGGTTGGGGAGCAGGAGCAAGAGAGTGGCATGAGGCTCCCCAATCCTTATTCCCCTGAGAGAGGAACACCAATGCATGCCTGATTCAACCAAAGCCTTGGCTTATTTTTCAGCTACCATCAGATAAACAGGTAACTAAATTTAAAAATGCAGAATGTTTTAGAACAGCAACCTCACAGTGAATAAGAGCTGATTTCGTACAGAATGTGCACTGTTGACTTAAGTGCAGTATGTGTTCAAGAAAGAAGAATAGCCAAATTTGTAATTGTTAGTTAAAAATAGGAATTTATATGACATAAGATTTCTTTGTAAAAGAACAACAGAGTGGGCCATCCACAATAAGAAATAGGTAGGCAATGATTATCTTACCCCCTCCCTTTTTTTTTTGGTAGTGTATTTTTCATCTGAGAACCTAACATTAAAATTCTGTTTGCATATAAGAACCGGGGTATAGGTCAGAGGTGTGGTGGGTAAGAGGATTCACCAGGTTCAGAGTGGGGAACAGAACAAGCAGGTTGACTGAAATACACAGAGGAGAGGAGCAGTAAGTGTTTTAACACTTTGTTCTACCAGGGAGGGCCCCACACTTCATTTCTTATAATCAAATTCATTTGTGAGGTAAATCTTCTGATCTTTAAATAACACAGTAACTGTACGTAATCTGTCTTTCATTCCTATAACAGTAAAGAAGATATGACCTGAATTCAACTATCTATTGTAAAGAGTTTTATGCAAGTTTTACTTATATTTTTCAGAATATACTGTTCACAAATTGGTTTTATGAAATCCATTGGTTTTTATTTAGAATATAGGGTCAGCATTGTGTAAAATCATGTGGGTCAGATACCATCTGCCACTGGATGAGTTATTTAACCTTTCTATGTATATGGGTCTTTGGCAAAATGTGAATAATGATAGTATTTATTTCATTCAGAATGCACCAAAGAAATATTACAGGTAAAGCTATTTACAGTGTGGTATAAAACATATTCAGAAATTATTAATAATAAAATTTCAGAGTAGAACTCTCTTACTGCATAACTATGCTAGTTCTTGTTAAAATTGAAAATGGGTAAAAGGAAATGCAGTTTCCTGTGTTCAGACTCCCAAGTTCCTGTAATTTTTAATGGAGTGAGAAGTCAAGCTGAGGAAAAGAAATGGCTAAAGAACATAATCGTAGCATTCAAAGATGAAACACAGTTTGAGGTGGATTTTTTAAAAAGGATTTATTTATTTACTTATGCATACAGATTCCTGCCAGGATTCCTGCCAACTAACACTCGATGCATTCTTTCCTCTCTAGATTGGGAAACCTGTACTCCATGACTGGAAAAAGATGAAAAAACATCAAAATGAAAGGAAAAGGAATATCAGTTAAAATAATGATAACTACAGTAAGTTGACAATGACAATATACCATGCTTATTAGAGCTACAACTGCATCTTTAAATCAACCTGTTAAATCGGTAACGCTACTTAACTGAAGATGTTTCCCTGCATTACATATTATTATTACTT